GGCCCAAGGCAGAGCCGCTGGAGGCCCCGCGTGCTGGAATGCCCGGCCGCATGCCACTGCCTGCTTCCTGCTGCGCTGCTTGTGTGATCCTGATTGGGTAATTTTGAATGCACTGTTTGATTGGATGTTAAAGCTTGTTGTTGATTGGATGTTAAAGCTTGTTGTTGATTGGATGTTAAAAGCTTGTAGTTGATTGGACGCTTTTTGAGCCCTGCCAAGGGTATAAAAGCAGGAGGAGAACAAGGAAGTGGGGCAGAAGATCAGAAAACATGATGAGAGCTATAACACTAGGTGTGCTGAGCCTGCTGTGGAGGAGTACAGGCTGTTCTCTGACTCTTCTTGCGCTGGGTTTTCCGTGATCAAGAGCTGTAACACTAGCTGTACACGTTGCCGCAACAGCTTACAGCGGAAACTGAATAGAGTAAAGAGAAGGATCAGGTTTGCCCTGCCCGTGTGCCTGGGAAGAGAGGACGACACTCCAGTTACTCCTCTTCTTCGAAGAGTTCTCTTCAAAACTTCAAGTGTTCTGTTTAGGAAATCCACAAAGTGTGGTGAGTCTAAATAAAATGCATACTGAGACGCTGAGAACCTCCTAGTTATAAATAACGTACAATTCATCTAGTTATATAGGTAAGTTTGCCTTCGCTTGAAGAGTCAGGAACCATCAGTCCTGCGCCTTCGGCAGGAAAATCCCTGTTCTGACAAGCAGTGCCGCACACCGCTAGGACAGACCCAGAGGGCAGAGGGGTGGGGCAGAAGCAGGAACCCCTGGCCCCTGATTTTCACAGCAGAATGAAAAGCTCTGGTGTGATCTAATAACATCTTATTTAAAGCGTGTAAATTCATACAGCATGAGATTCAGGTCGATTTCTTTGGTCAAGAGTGAAGCAAGAAAAAGGTGAACCAGTGTGACATTCGATCTCAACAGCCTGCAGCCCGTGTGTAGGGACACCTTGGATGTGGCAGGGCCTGAGCCCTCCTCTGCTACTCTGTCTGACGCATGGCCTGAGAAGTCACAAACGCCTTTGCTTATCTCTCAGTGCTCCAGAGGAGAGTATAAAGCATCAGAACTGAAAGAACTTTATAACACTACTCAAATCCCTTTTCTCAGATAAAGAGGCTGAGGTCACAGCTTAGGGGTCTTTCCAAGGTCGGATCAATTAAAAAATAGAGCCAAAGTCTCCTGCTTCTACACCTTCTCTGTGCAGAGCTGCTGTGAGGCAATATACGAATGTGGCCAGAGATTATTATACAACTGGTAATGGATGAGTAAAAAATCCTTTTTTAAAGAAATATGTGAAATTAGTCATGGGGAAGTATATTCCCAAATAGTTTTCAAAACAGAAATGCCATCTTCATAGCATTTCATTTAAAGTAATAATAGCTGCATTACATATTATTAATGGATTCACTTTGCTTATAAACATATTTCATTTCACTTAACTGTGATGGTAGTAAAAAGTTAGAGACTTTGAAGAAATATTCATTATATTTGGCATTTACCACTCTTTCTTTTTTATCACTTTTGCCAACAATTTGAGGAGGTGATGAATTCAATTTTGAAAATAAACTTCCTGTGTGTTCAGTCTGAATTGTTTGCTTAGTACCCACTAAACATAAAGGAATACTCAGTTTCATGTGAGGAAATGGAAATACCATTCTCTGTCGCTGGAAGTATGAGAAAGGTTGATTGAGGACATGTCCTCATTTTGAGGAAGAGGATTCTAGACCAGTGATTTGCAACCTTTGTTAGACTTTAGAATGACAAGTAGAGTTTTTTTAAAAAAACAAATACGGTTGTCTAAGCTCTACCGCTGACAATTCTGTTTGCGATTGGGTCGGGTATTGGTTCTGTAACATGTGATAGTTCTGATGGCTCTAGAGTGCCACCAGAATTGAGAACTGTTCCTCTAGGTGATTTCTCCATCTTTTTCCAACGCTAAGATTTTGCCATTCCACGGATGTATCATACTTTAGAGTAGCTTAAAGAACAGAAAAAGACCAGACTCATGCCTGTAATCTCAACACTCTGGGAGGCCAATGCGAGAGGATCACTTGAGCTCAGGAGTTTGGGACTAGCCTAAGCAAGAGTGAGACCCCACCTCTACTAAAAAAATAGAAATTAGCTGGATAACTAAAAAAAAAATATATATAGATAGATAGGTAGATAGATAGATAAAATTAGCCAAGCATGGTGGCACATGCCTGTAGTCCCACCTACACAGGAGGCTGAGGCAGGAGGATCCCTTGAGCCCAGGAGTTGGAGGTTGCAGTTAGCTGTGATGACATCACTGCACTCTAGCCAAGGCCACACAGCAAGACTGTCTCAAAAAAAAAAGAAAAGAAAGAAGGGTGTATATTTAGTTTTGCAATTAAAAATATGACTCAGTATATAATGAATCTTCTGTGACCCAAGAGACCTAAAATAAATTTTAATTTAAAAAATATAATCTTTAACAAGTGTCTGTTTTGTTCTAGGCATGGTGTAAGTACTTTATTTATGTTAACTTATTATTTTTGTTGAGACAGAGTCTCACTCTGTTGCCTGGGGTAGAGTGCGGTGGCGTCAGCCTAGCTCACAGCAACCTCAAACTCCTGGGCTCAAGGGATCTTCCTGCCTCAGCCTCCCGAGTAGCTGGGACTACAGGTATGTGCCACCATGCCTGGCTAATTTTTTTTATATATATACATTTTTAGTTGTTCAGCTAATTTCTATTTGTTTAGTAGAGATGGGGGGGAGGGGTCTCGCTCTTGCTCAGGCTGGTTTTGAACTCCTGACCTCAAACGATCCGCCCACCTCGGCCTCCCAGAGTGCTAGGACGACATGCGTTCAGCCACCGCGCCCGGCCTTATGTTAACCTACTGTATACTCTTAGGACAGCGGTGTGGGGCTGTAGCAGCCGCACCCCTGCCACGGGTAGACAGAGCTCAAGATGAAGACGCGCAATTGCCTGCCAATCAGCCGCTGATCTGAAACCGGAGCGTTTGGTTTCAGAGGCCGCACACTCAGCCACACACCCTGTGCCTGTCACGTCTCACGAGTAAAAAATCCTTGACTACGGATCTGTACAGCATTTGTTAGATGTGCACATGTGCGTGGAAAATTTATTATGACTGTAACGTTACGTGTCCAAGAATGATTACATCATTTTTATTGCTTTCAGTGATGTCTGCTGCCAGAAAACTTTCTCGTCTTGGAGGAGCTAATGAAACCGTGTTTATGACCTACAAATATGTACTGATGTATAAGGTAATATTCACTGACCTGCTCAGGCGCTGAATTTCCACCTTGCTCTATATTACTCCTCAAAGTGAGCAAAACAATATTAGGCTAATTATTTGAGAAGAGGCACATGATACTTCCAAGTGTAATTTCTCCAACCAATTGGCAAGGTGTGAATACATTAACATCTATCATACTAGAGTAGACATTAATGGAAGCAATTTGAGTCGCTGAGAGACTTCTTTTTTTTTTTTTTTTTGAGACAGTGCTCACCTTGTTGCCCAGCTAGAGTGGTGCCGTGGCGAGTGGGCGCACCTAGCTCACAGCACCTCAAACTCCTGGGCTCAAGCATCCTCCTGCCTCAGCCTCCCGAGTAGCTGGGACTACAGGCATGTGCCACCATGCCCGCTATTTTTTCTATATATATAGTTGGCCAATTAGTTTCTTTCTATTTATAATAGAGATGGGTCTCGCTCTTTGCTCAGGCTGGTTTGAACTCCTGACTCAGCAATTCCACCCGCCTTGGCCTCCCGAGAGCTAGATTACAGGCTGAGCCACAGCACCCGGCCTGGGATTCTTTAATCTGGGATTGTTACATCTACTTTCTAGAAAACTCTTAATAGCACGTGCTGCACCCTCTGTAGTTATTAGCTGCAGAGTTTGGCTCTTGTGTTGCGTCTTAGAAATTGGAGATGTCAACGACATCTCTCCTCTCTCTTCTTTATCCAAACACTTTTGAGAAACTCAAGGAGACAAAAGGAAAATAAAATATGGCACTTTGATCAGTGGGTTCCTGGTGCCCTCAAGCACAGGGCTCCCTGCAACACTGAGTGGGAGAGGCGTCAGGGCCGGATGCCGACGCCTCCAGCTGCACTCCTCCAGGGGAGCTGGGGAAAGCAGAACGTTCCGGAGAGAGAGCCCCTTCCCTGGTGAGCGTATAGCAGGGAGACAAGCAGCAGAGCAGGGTGTGAGCAACCACAAAGAACTGAGTGACCCTTGTTATGTCCATGCAGTGCTGCAGTCCTAGCCACATTGCCAGAAACAATATTTCCCCCGACTGCTGCGCACAAAATGTCGGGCGACAGGATGGGCCACTGGCCGCCTCCCCGTCGCTCCGCATCTCTGCGGGCCAGCGCTGTGCGTGGCCAGTTGGAGGGCGCGCTGCTGGGGCCCGGCCCAAGGCAGAGCCGCTGGAGGCCCCGCGTGCTGGAATGCCCCGGCCGCATGCCACTGCCTGCTTCCT